ATTTTAGTATGCTGTCTAGATTTGCCATAGCTTTCCTCCCCAGGAGCAAGCATCTTTTAATTTCTTGGCTGCAGTCCCCGTCTGCAGTGATCTTGGAGCCCAGGAAAATATAATCTGTCACTACCTCCATTTCTTCCCCATCTATTTGCCAGGAAGTGAGAGGACCGGATGCCATCATCTTAGTTTTCTTAATGTTGAGTTTCAAGCCAACTTTTGTGCTCTCCTCCTTCACCCGCATCAAGAGGCTCTTTAGTTCCTCTTCACTTTCTGCCAAGAGAGTGGTATCATCTGCATATCTGAGGTTGTTGATATTTCTCCCAGCAATCTTAATTCCAACTGGTGATTCATCTTGCTTATGAGGATGCTGCTAGCCTTTTTGTCTTTCAAAATGCGAGACTCAAAATGTGAGTCTTTCAAAATGTGAGATTTCAAAATGTGACACACCTGAGCATATACTTTGTGGAACACACAAAAAGTCTCCATTGCTTTGGGGGAGGCAGACCACCAGATTGTATATTTTATCATCAAGCCATATTTTTCTGGAGGAGATTTGCTCCTCCTGCCCTTTCCTGACCCATCTTTCTCTTCTTCCATTTCACCATTATACCCACATATCAGTGAAATTTCAGAGAATAAAGTTTTCAATTTAAAATAAAAATATTCATGCTCAAGGGCTTTGCTACCAAGAGGCAAAGAAACATAATAAACTAAAAATGCTAATTTAAATAGAATATCAACATACATTTCAATTTGCACTGTATACCCAGTGGTACAGCATTTGGCTTGTTACGCAAAGAAAGCCCCCTCTTGGGAAAAGTGGCAGACTAAGGCACTGGCAAAATATGCAAAATATGGCAAAAATATAAAATTATGTAGGTTCTGTAAAATTCTGCTTTCAAAGGTCCCATTTGAAGAGCTGCCTGAGAACACTGCATTAGTATGAACTAACCAGTAGCTTAAATACCAGTTGAAAAGATTCACATCTCACTTCATATTGCTCACTGCACCTAGGACCAAACTTCCATTAAAAGTCACCTCCCTCTATGGGTGGGATGCAGGTGGCAAAGCAAAGGGCAGTCATGCCAGAGAACGAGGACGTTAACTCTTTTCCTCTGCTGTATTTTCTGGATTTAAATACCACCTACTTCCTAAAGAGAAGGTGAAGGCAAGCAGCAACTCTACAGTTCCAATGGAAAGCACAACAACAACATCAATAACAACAGCTTTTAAAAAGCAGCAGCAGCAACATGAACTCATCATGCATCTTGCATACCTACTTGGTCCAGAGAGGAAGTATTTTTGAGCACAGACCTTCCTTGCCATTTCTGTTTTTGCAGCTTGACCCAATACAAGTTCACTTGGAAGCACAACCCTTCCTTGTTCAATGGTGCTTACTCCCAAGGGTGTACACAGGACTGAACACTTATACAACTCCCAATTGCTTACAAAAATGTTTGTAGGTTGAGGCTCATGTTTCAATCAGTAACATATTCCAGGTATTGTGGAACAAATAATATAAAAAGAAGCAAGTCACAAATCAAGTTTGCTAACGGATGGCTTTTTGCTACAATCTATTGCACCAATTGGTGGCCCAGTGAGAAACAAAATATGGTTCAGAGGTTTATTAGATCTAACTCATCCGTCAGCAAAACAATGCTTAAAGTAGATTAAATAAAATTCTTATCCTTGTACCAAATAAATCTGCAGACACAAGCGAATGAAATATTCCCATCCAATGTATAGCATGTCCTGTCACCAAATGACACACAAGTTTCCTTAGGTTTTTAAAATTACTATTACTGCTACTCTAGATACATAAAACAATAATTACAACTTTGGGCCAAAGTACAGAATACTATCCAAATATGAACTACCAACAGCTTTCATTTAACATATACATGAGTTTATTAGGAATGATGTACCCTAATCCATCCATCAAACCTGCCCCCTCATTTCTAATCAAGCTGCCATGCGATTTACTCAGAAGCATAATGCTGCCATTTGCTTTAATAGAAAAATCAATGTAATCATAGTAGAGATGGAAGGAGCCAGAAGGCCATGAGGTCACCAAGTTATACCATCCCACTCAGATGACTGTCCAGTTGCATCTTGAATGCCTTCAGTGTGGGAGAGCCCACAACCTCCCTAAGTCACTGGTTTCATTGTCATACTGCTCTCACAGTTAAGAACTTTTCTCCTGGTATCTAGCCAGAATCTGGCTTGCTGTAACTTGAGCCTGTTATTCTATGTCCTGCACTCTGGGCTGACCAAGAAGATCTTGTCCTCCTCCTTTGTAACAGACTTTCAGGTACTTGAAGAGTGCTATCATATGTCCCAACAGACTTCTCTTCTTGAGGCTAAACATGCTCAGTTCTTTCAATTGTTGCTCAGCTTTGTTTCTAGTCCCCGGATCATCCTTGTTGCACCCCTCTGAATCCTTTTCAGCTTGTCTGCATCCTTCTTAAACTATTGTTTCCAAAACTGCACACAGTCCTCCAGATGAGGCCTAACAAGAGCTGTGTACATCATGGGATTTGGAAGTGATACTTCTATTAATGCAGCCTAAAAGGACATTTGCCCTTCTTGCAGCCTCATCACCTTCTTGACTCATATTCAGCTTGTGAATTACAAACAATTGCAAGTTCCTTTTCACTTGCAGTATAGTTGAACTGAGTACTTCCCACCTTGTAACAATGCATTTGGTTTCTTTTTCCTAGTTGTACAACTTGGCATTTGTTCCAATAGAATTTCATTCTGTTCTTTTCAGCCCAGCACTCCAACCTATCAAAATCACCTTGAATCTAAAATCCAGGTTCATGCTTGGCTACACCTGGCTTTTGCTTCCTTTAGAATCAATAATTCAAGTGTGACATGGTCACTTCCGCCCTGATTCCCGTAACTGTCACTTGGTTCACTAGGTCTCCTTCGTTGGTTAGAATTAAGTCAAACCGTTCCTCTAGTTTCTTCCTCTACTTTCTGTTGGAGGAAGTTATCAGCAACACGTTAGGACTCTCTTGGAGAGGCTATGTTTGGCAGTACAGAGCCCATATATGTGATGTACAGAGACCACAAAGAAGAAATGGTCTCCCAACAGATATCTGGTAAATTGAAGTCCCCCATAATGATAACATCCTCCTCCTTGAAACACTGGTAAATGCTTTGCAAAAGTTTCATCCTCATCTTCTCCTTGACTCAGTGATTGGCAATAAACTCCAATCACTCTGTTCCTTTTATTCCTTGCTTCATTTATATTAATCCAGATAAGCTTCTCCTCCAGTATTTCCATGCAGAGATATGTTTCTTTGATGTATGGCACGACTCCACCTCCCTTTCTGTCCCTTCTGTTCTTCTTGAACAGATTATATACTTCAACATCAGAGTCATCCCTCCAAGTTTCAGTTACACCTATCAGGTCATATTCACCCACATGTATTTAGAGTCAAGTTCATGTTGTTTGTTTCCTATACTCTGGGCATTAGTAAGCAGGTATAGAAGACCAGAGCTTTATACTCTAGCGTTCTTCCTGCATTTTTTGGAAGACCACTATTGGGCACTGTTAGAGCTGCTCTCTCTGTTGTGGCACATAGACCTTTGTCCATTCTTATGCCCAGGTGTACTACTCCCTCCCCTAGAGGATTCAGTTTAAAGCTCTCCTGATAAACTTCTTCATGTTGCGGCCAAACATCACCTCTCCAATCCTTGTAAGGTGCAACTCATTCCTTTCCAGCAGTCCATCTTCCTGGAAGTGTAGCCTGTGGTCCCAGAATCCAAATATCTCATGTTGGCACCACCTTTGCAGCCAGAAATTCTCTTTGAAATTGTTTCTTTTCCTTGTCTATTACTTTTCCAAGATTGGAACAGTTTGCAGAGAAAGCTATTTGGGCCTCAAATGTTTGACTTTCCTCCCTAAAGCTTCAGAGTTAGATGTGACCTCTTCAAGGTCCTCTTGGCAGTGTAATTTGTTCCCATACATATAAAAAGGAAGGAATACGTGTCAGTGGGCTGTATGAGCCTTGGCAATCTTTCAGTTATATCACTAATCTGTCTTCCAAAAGATTAATAAGATGCAACCTGATGAGTGTGTTGTTATAGAATTAGATTGTTTTCTTTTCATGCCGCTGCTAAGGAAGTGAAGTACTAAAGGTATTGGGATTAATTTTAAAAAGAGAAAAAAATACACTAGGAACTGCATTCAGAGGTATTTAGGATAATGTGGCACATGCAGATAAAACCTGTATGTAAATTCATATTTATAGAAAATGAAACATTCTTGCAGTATATTCTTTTCTCCTTCTGTCTTAAACTTGATGGAATTATCTGGAATGCTGTGCAACATTCAAAGCAAAGAAGCAGGACATGAACTGAACTTTTCATTGTGGGTGGTGAGCTTTCTACTCTCATTTTTAAAAACATCTCATTGAACATGATCCATATTTTGGTTACCAGCAATTCTCAAATGATAAAATGGGAAGCCCCAATTTGTGTTTGAGTGCTCTGTGGCAATGGATGTTGTACAGAAGATGATTAGGCCCAAGAGGTAAGTTCTGAAGAACCAACAGCTGTCTCCCAAATAAAACACTTGCAGAAATACTGATACCAGGGTATTCACTGGAGATTTGGGCCTCAAGCTACAGCATTAAATAAATGACCATGAGTACAGTAAGGAATGTCCACGCCATTGCTTCCAACAAAAGGACCTATTAAAGCTACCTATCATGCTTTTCAGGAAGCTACTGCCAGAAGACTGACTACATACACCAAAAAGGGGCCCTGGATTACAACTCTGTACTTGAATAGTACATGCAGTAAACAGCCTCTCAAACACACATACATGCTTACCAATCTGTTTCCACCCTGGCTCTCACCTGTGCATGTTTCCATTGGTGGTGAAGGATTGATCGCATACCGAACATTTATAAGGCCTTTCACCAGAATGCACCAGCATGTGGCGATCGAGGGAGCTTGCAGAGCTCAGAGACTTTCCACAGATGCTGCAGGAATGGTCTGTCCCTCCTGTGTCAGTGTTGTGCTAAAGAAAACAACAGATTTTTTTGGTTTGTTTTAAGCTCTTCAGGTGCAGCATCAAGAACATGCCAGTCCGCTCCAACCACCACCACCACCATCAGAATTCAAATAGTATGTGCTATGTTACACAAACACTGTTAGTTCTCCAGTTGTGGTTCAGCCTAATAATCAAGAATACTGAAGCTCAAATACTTAAGAGAAAAGGCAAAGACTACAGTGGTGGAAACAGACTAAACATGTGAAAGGCCAGAACACTAAGAACAACAATTCTCACTTGCCTTATGAGTAGCATGAAGAGTATTAAATGCTTCATGAAGCCTTCAACAAAATATGAAATTGGGAGGACAACCAGAAATTAAATGGGAATGCACTGTAATGCCTTCTTCATTCTGAAAATATCAGGCCTCAAAAAGAACTTTATGGAGCATCTCTAGTCCACACGGTATGAAATTTCCCTGGTAGTCCCCCAGGAGGACCATTTTACTTTGAAACAAGGTGAATGCTCCCTGCTCTCCTTGTCTAAGTTAAAAGTACTGCTTTTTTGCTGTTTGCATGCCTCTAACTTTCACCAGCACAATCCATAACCAACAGCAGAAGACAAGGATGCAGTGACTTAACCCCAGTTAGCTGCCTATCCTGTTCTAATTCAACCACTCAAGGACAGTGGGACATTTCATGCATAGTTGTGAGCCATCTCAACAAGGGCCTTGGGAGTGCACAAGGGCAGGAGGTACAGTTTGAGAAAACATCTTTGGGAGAGGGCTTCACCTGTCATGATCATCATGACTTGCACAAGTTGCAGGTGCTCCAAATTGCTTGTTTTTTAAAGGCTGCCAGGGTCACACAAGTCACAAAAAATGTCCATACATCCTCCACATGCACCTACCAGTTTTTGCTACCAAGGCTTTGGTAAGTGTGGCTTGGCACTGGCAACCACACACTCCTGAAAAGTTGCTTTAGAATCACAGAGTTGAAAGGGGCCATAAAGGACACCAGGTTCAACCCCCTGCTGCTGCAGGACACTGATTCACACCATCCCTGGCTGTCCAGCTTCTTTCTGAAAGTCTCTAGTGTGGGAGAGTCCACCACTTCTCTGGGCAGTTGGTTCCACTGTTGCGTTGCTCTGACAGTGAGGAAACTTTTCCTGATATATAGCCTGATCTAGGTTGTCACAACTTGAGTTGATTATTCCATGTCCTGCACTGTAGTATCAGCAAAAAGAGATCTTGACCTTCTTTTTGACAGCCTTTAAGGTACTTACAGAGGGATATCATGTCCCTCTCAGTCTTCTCAATGCAGAGCATGCCCAGCTCTCTTACTCTCTCCTCATAGGGCAGTGTTTCCAAACACTGGAACATTTTTAATGCCCTCCTCTGGAGCCTCAGAGACCCCCAGTTAAATCAATTGCTTCAAGGCAACCACAGAAGAGGTTCCTATCCAGTCTTTGTAGAAATAGTTCCCAAGCAAGCCAAGAACCTCTGCTTTCTTCCATGCTCAAACTGTAGTAAATGTTCTTTCACCCTCCTCTTTATGGGACATCTGAGATCATTTAAAAGAATACTATCATGAAAACTGCTACCAGGTCCCACTTCAGGCTTAACCTTCTTCCTAACCTAGACTTTCCTTAATACCTACTTGTGACTCTTACATTCACTGAATTCCATAATCAGCTGACCTGTGCATCACAATCCCATTCTCTTTGTACCCTTTGAGAAACCCAATTTGTTCAGAACAGATGCAGGGCAGGGCAGGATGATCTAGCAACAGCCATGGTTGTAGGGCCTGAAATTGCCTCATGCCGTAACGACCACCAAAGTGTTGTCCACTGCAAAGCTGGAAAGAAATCTAGGTTCTGTGACTTCAAGGATGGGTGGGGAGATGCCTAAGATTATGACTACTACTGTCCTCCCCCCCCCACCCCCTAAACAAACCTGCTGTGAGTTCTGAATATCTGGCTGTCCCAGGGGACAATGCAATGCAACAAAGTATCACTGCATGGGGGATCCTCACAAGAAAAGGATGTTTGATCCTATCTCCATGCTTTCCCAAACATCAGAGAAAGTTTTGTGCATGCTTCAGCCCTCATATAAACAGTAAAACAAACAATTGTCCCAGTCCCATAAGAAATCAGAGCAACTTTCTAAACTTTTCTAAGATTCTCTGACAACAGTATACTAAAAGGGGAAAAGGATTTAAACAAGGGTAGAAGATTGCAAGGACAAAAAATATGAAACAGTATCATTTGCAACATAAATGTAGTTCAGGCTGTGGGGAGGCATAAGCCAATCATAATGTATAGGTTTACTATACATTGTGATTGATTTCCAAAGCAGAAAGGCATCCTCAATAGGAAGTTTAAAAATTAGCAATTTACCTGACGAATATGCATAGTCAGCTGATGTTGAGTAGTGCAAATCTTTTCACACAGAGGGCAGATATAGGAAGACTTGTCATCTTTTGTTTCCTGTTTTTTAAAAACAAATACATGCAAAATTAATTTTAAACTTTAAAATCCAAACAACTAGACATAGATCACATTTTGCAAAGATATAACATTTTATCTTCTTGACATTCATGCAAACACCATAAAAAGTATTATTCTAGACAAGGCAACTCCTAGTCCAGCTGCCTGATTTGCACAGTAGCCAAGAAGTTATCCCAATGGGAACAGTAGGTCCCAAATAGGTCGTGGGTGCAATAGCTCCTTCCACTCATGTGTGCCAGTAAACGAGGTCATCCAAGCTGGCAGTCATTCACTACATCTTGTGGTGGCAAATTCTATAGTTTGCTGTGTGGAAAAACACCTTCATTTGATCAATCCTGAATCTGCCACCACTCGGCATGATTGGGTGACCCTGAATAATATAAGAGCAGCAAAAATGCTTCTCCATACCATACATAATGCTCTCTCTTAAGCTTTCATTAGCTTGAACCTGACCATGTAACACACCTGGCCTCAGTTTTCCCATCAATAAAAACAAGAACAGCAACTATAGAAATTCATCATAGCAATTATAAGGGTGAACAAGATAACAAAAATAGTTTTCATGGTTCATCTGGGAATGGAACACTTTGATTTTCACATCAGTTTGTCTGCTGAAGAACTCTAACTTATCACAGAAGAGTGCGTGAAGACTTGCAGGTGAATTCAGCACATGTAGGGTATCACAGGTGGGATGGAGTTAGAACAAACCCAATGCTCTTCACAACTGTGCATTGCAAGGGAAAGGCAGGTTGCTTACCTGTAACTGTCGTTCTTTGAGTGGCCATCTTTGCATTCACACATATGGGGTGCTGTGCCTGCGCAATGCCTAAAGCCAGAAAGATTGCAAAGCTTAACAGTTTTTGGTGGGAACTCTGCTCCTCTCCCCGCTAACAATATAAATGGAGTGGAGTGCCCGCCATTTTCCCAGTCTACTGGAGACCAGACGTTTGCCCCCTTGTCGGAGCGAGAGATACTGTAGGGCAATTTTACAGGACCATAAGTACAAAGAAAAGAAACATGGAACCGGAAGAGTACCCACTCACCGACACCAAGCGGGGCTGGCGGGTGGGTTCTGTGAATGCACAGATGGCCACTCCAAGAACGACAGTTACAGGTGAGCGACCTGCCTTTCTTCGTCGTGGCCTCTGTGCATCACACATGTGGGTGACTAGCAAGCTTACCAGACCCGGAGGCGGGCGGTGTCGTCACTGAAGGACAGCAGAAAGGACTGCCCGGCCAAAGGAGCAATCGTGTCTGGCATGCACATCAAGGCAGTAATGCCTGGCAAAGGTGCAAGGAGTAGTCCATGTGGCAGCCTTGCAGATGTCTTGGATCAAAATCCCAACAGCGAAGACAGAGGAGGCTGCTACCGCTCTTGCAGAATCCCCCCTAGGCATGATGGGTAAATCAAGCTTGGCAAATTGGTACACCAGTTCGACTGTTTGTACAACCCATTTCGAAAACTTCTGTGAACTCATGGGGGAACCTCTGTCATAATCCGAATATTTTACAAAGAGGTGGTTAGATTTACGGGAGGATTCCATACGAAATCTGTGAAAAGCAAGGCAATGATGAACATCGAGGGAATGTAAGAACCGTTCAATCGGAGTAGAGGGCGATGGAAAAAAGGAAGGTAAGACAATGTCCTGGTTGATATGGAATGGTGTCACGACTTTGGGTAAAAACGCCTTATCAGTGCGGAGAACAGCCTTTTCTTTATGAAAGTTCAGGTAGGGAGGGTCCACCCTAAGTGTGCAAAGTTCACTAGCCCTTCTGGCAGAAGTGACAGCCACGAGGAAGGCAGTCTTCCAAGATAGGAGACGTAAGTCAGTAGTTGCCAGGGGCTCAAAGGGAGTTCTGGTGAGTGCTTGAAGGACCACCAAGAGGCTCCAGGTAGGAATGACCAGATGAATTGGCAGTTGAAGGTTCTGCAGTCCCTTGAGGAACCTACGAATGATGGCTTGGGAAAATACCGAAGAGCCCTGCACTTGACCACGGTAGTGGGAAATTGCTGCTGTGTGAACCTTGATCGAGGAGGGTTTAAGTCCCGACTGATGGAGTGACAAGAGAAATTGGAGGATGTTTTTGACAGAAGCTGAGGAAGCAGTAAATGAATTCGATTATGCAAAAGATGAGAATTGTCTCGAATTCGCCGCTAAGTTCGCCGAGTTGCCGGTCTTAGGGCAGATTGAAGAATGTACTGGATTTCGGGATGGAGAGCTCTCGGATCTGATTTAGAGTCTATCAGGCCCGAGAGAACGGGTGTCGTATTGGGACAATGTGTGGTGACTATGGCAGACCTTGGTTCTGTCGGTAGCGAATGGACCTGGTGGTTCACCGGATGAGCCATGCAGTTAGACCAAGTGAGGAAAGGTCTGGATGGCAAACAGCTCCGTCCTATTATGTTATTAGATGAGGTATGAGCGGCAGCCGGAGAAAAGTGTTGCCGGATAGATAGAGGAGAGTGGAGAACCATGGCTGGCGGGGCCACCAAAGCGTGACCAGAATCCCCGTAGCGTTGTCGTGGACAATCCTGGAAATGACTTTTGTTATGAGTGGGACTGGAGGGAAGGTGTAGAAGAACATGTTGGACCAAGGGATCATCAAGTCATCTCCTGTCAATCCCAGACCGATGTCGGCACGAGAGCAGTACATTTCGCAGATCCTGTTCATGTGAGTGGCGAACAAGTCTATGTCCAGATAGCCCCAGTGTGAAAAAGGCGACGGCAAGTCGGACGATCCAGTTCCCATTCGTGGGTCGTTGACATTTGTCTGCTCAAGATAACGACCTCCTCATTGTCGGTACCGGCCAGGTGGACTGCAAGAGAGTTATGTCTCTAGGAATGCATCGCCAGATGGGCCAGGGGGGTGGGCTTCGTTCCGCCCTGCTTGTTTATATAAAACACAGCGACAACGTTGTCAGAGGCAACCTGTACGTGTTGCTGGAGAGTGTCCTCAAACGAACGAAGTGCTTTGAAGACCACCAGGAGCTCGAGATAATTGATGGGCCTGGTGGACTCCCGTTGGTCCCAGGTGCCCTGTGTTCGAAGGCTGGCGCACAGGGCTCCCCACCCGGTCAGGGATGCGTCAGTATAGAGGGTCAGAGTTGGATGCTGCAGACAGAATGGGACACCCAGAGTCAGATTGTGTTGAACAGTCCACAATGATAAAGTCCAGAGGACAGAAGCCAGAAGGTGAAGAAGTCTGTGGGGCAAGTCTTGTTGTGGCTGAAACATTTTATTGAAGTATAACTGGAGTGGTCTCATCCGTAGCCTGGTGTGGGAGACTGTGGCGACTGAGGAGGTCATGTGACCGTGGAGCTTCTGGATCGAGAGTGCTGAAACAGTTCTGTTCATTTGGATTTGACGGATCCAGGAGCACAGATTGTCCTGTGAGCTTGGTGAAAGAAAGGCTCTCACCAGTGTGGAATCAAGAAGCGCTCCAATGAAATTGATGACCTGTGAGGGAACAAGGCACGATTTCTCATGGTTAATGCCAAGTCCCAAATTGTCCAGAAGAGTACAAGTAAGTCTCAGCGCTGATAGGAGGCTTTCCTGGGACAGGGAAACTATCAGCCAGTCATCCAGGTAGGGATACACTTGAATCCCTTGGAGCCGAAGATGTGCACACACCAGAGCCATACATTTGGTGAAAACCCGGGGGGCAGTAGTTAGTCCAAACGGGAGGACATTGAATTTAAACAGGTCAGAACTGACAGTAAAACGCAGAAGACACCTTTGGGATGGATGAATGGCAATATGAAATTCTCTCAGGTCCAGAGAAGTGAACCAATTCTCTCTCCTAAGCAACAGAAGGATATTTAGAAGGGTGGTCATCCGAAACTTTTTGGTTTTGATGAACCTATTGATGTCGCGTAAGTTCAGAATCGGACAAAGACCACCATCCCACTTCGGGACAGTAAAATATCTAGAATAGAATACGTGGATCCCCTCAGAGCGCATAAGCTGTCGAATCGCTCCTTTACGAAGCAGTTGTTGAACTTCGTCAACAAGAACTGATGATTGAGGTGTAAATCGGATTGGTCCCAATGGGGGTATGGTAACGAACTCAATTCTGTATCCGTGGTGAATAATGGATAAAACCCACCGATCAGATGTGATGGACTCCCATATGGGGAGTCGACTTTGTAGTCAATCCCCAAAAGTGAGAGGGGAGGGTGGGTTAAGGAAGAGAGGTTCATTCATCCCGTCAACGCTGGTGTTTGTCTGAGTGGGAACAATGGCGGTTTTGTGGGAAGCGCTGTTGTTGCTGCTTCTGACGTTGCTGACGGGGCTGAAACTGTTGACGAGGTGGAAATTGGGAGTATGGCTGTTATCTATTAGACAGACGGGACCAAAACAACTTACATTGGGATTGGTTTGGGACCTCCATCTGACGAGTAGTCATCTTCGACTCATGTATGGACTTCATTTTATGGTCAGTCCATGCATGGAATAGACCTGAGCCGTCAAAAGGCATCTCCTCAATCCGGCGTTTGGTCTCCTCGGGGAAGTTGCAACTCCGAAGCCAGGCATTGAGACGGAGGGAGACAGCACTAACTAGAGCCCTGAAGTTGGAGTTGACACAGTGACTTGCTGTAGTGAGCTGTTGAACTGTCACCTGCATGGCCTCCTTAATGAATATACAAGCCAGATCTTTTTGCTGGTCCGGGAGAGAAGCAGTAATGTTATCTAGCTTCTGCATCAAAAATATTGATACCGAGCAAGCATGGCTTCGTAGTTTGAGATGCGGAGGCCAAGTCCTGTAGCGGTGTAGATCCGGTGAGCCAACATGTCGATCTTGCAGCCCTCCTTGTCACGGGGTGTAGTATGGCCCCTCGACTCGCGGTCCTGGGACGACTCCACAGCTATAGAGTTCGGCCTCGGATGACACAGAAGGAATGGAATATCCTGCTCCCGGACTCGATACATAGCCTCGTACCGACGTGAGGTAGGTTGAGGCTGGTTCGGAAGGTTCCA